AACATTCCTCACAATGTTCTACATCAGTTTCCTCTTATTTTTTTTTGATACTGCATCCTCTCTTCTCTCCTCCCTCCTCCCTCCACCTGCACTGTTGTGTGTAACTGATAGCTGCTTTATCACATAGCAGTTATTCAATCAAAAGTGCACTTCAGGTCCGCTTCTCTCTGATGGGCATGCTGACTGGGACGGAGTGGAGAGCGCTAACCACATAAACACTTCCAGAAAAACACACAGTACAACACAGCATTACTATATCTCTTATTTGTTTATTAGCACTGGTAATACCTATTTATCTTTCTAATATTTTCACAGTCCAGTCAGAGTAATGTGATATCTCCCTCTTCACTTATGTATGCTTACAGGAAAAGTGCAGTAAAAGCACCCTGCCTCCCCTCCATTAGATGCAATCTGGTTGCCCTGAAGGCTGCTGTGCATTCATTTGTTGTCTGGCCCAGCATAAGCCTGACGACCCTCTGGAGCTTTACCGGCTGGGAGCCAAAGTGTATGCACTCTATACACAGAAGCTTGTGCTGCGTAACAGTGATCAGTCACAGAGTACAGATACCAAACCGAGATACATTCTATGGATAAATATGCAGAGATTTATGTGTTTAGTTTCTTAGCTGCTTTTCTTGTATTTGTGTAGTTTGTTCTTTCTTTCTGTCTTTCTTTCTTTCCTTTTTTTCTTAATTTCCCTCTCTTCTGTTCTTTCCTTATTCCTTTACCTTTTCATTCTCTTCTTCTCCATATCTTTCTTCATCTCTTTATTGCTGTCTTTGTTTCTTTTTTTTCTGTTTCTTTTTGAAGTTTTGATGTTAAACTTCTTACTTAATTTGAATTTTTCTTTCTTTCTTTCGTTCTTTCTTTCGTTCTTTCGTTTTTCTTTCTTTCTTTCTTTCTTTCTTTCTCTCTTTCTTTCTTTCTCTCTTACAATGTCCCCCTATGCTTGCAGTTTTCTTGATTCTCCACAGTGTCCATGAGACAAATTGCACTTGGTCGGCTTTTGGAGAACAGTCAGATATTGTGTGTACATTATAGCAGAGCATGCAATATTCTTTGTAAAAGTTCTGGGGCAATTACTTATGCAGACAGCCTCACAGTAAAGCTCCTGTGCAGCCGACGCACATAGATTAGATGATGCATTAGATCAAAAGGGCCTTCGTGATTGGCTACTTGACATGTAGTGCATCTTTACATTAGCGTCTTGATCTATGAGTATAAAGAGCCTGTACTGTCTGGAAACATGTCCAGGCTGTGACATAACCGCAAGGCCATCTGCGCACCCAGCATGCTTATTTTTTAACTCAAAAAATATGCTCTGTTATTTTTATTTTTCCTTACATATAAGAAGAAAATATTTTCTTTAATCAGTCTGGGTTGAGCCGTGTCCTTAGGAGACTAATCCTTAAGATTTGATTAACTGAGACTGCTGTTTTGCTGTTAAATGATACTTTCCCTGAAAGTAAAGAGAGACAGTGGATGGTGGTACTTGGGTGGATAGTGGATGGGGCAGAGGGAGAGTGCTCTCAGGAAAAATATGACCATGTGATCCATATTAACACCAGAGAGTATTTGGTATAGGTAGTATTAAACATTCATGTATGGCTTTGGCAGATATTGAGGCCTGCTTGTGGCTTGTGGTCTGGACGAGAGGAGGTTTTCAGGGGTTTGTTACACGACACTCAGTATTTTCTACATTTTGATTACGCAAACAGGCTGCGTAGACAGATATGGTGAGTTGTTGTTGGCAGTCACTCATTGCAGTGTTTTTTGAGATACTGTATGTGAGTGATAGTATTATATTCAGATAAATGCAGAGTTGCTTTCAGAACCTTTTTATAAGGAAATGTTGTGTTTGCATTTTGTAAAAGCAAAGCTGTCGATCCAGCGATCTGTGCTGTAGCATTTTTCCTGTCATAAAGCACCAAGTCAATGAAAAGAATCCACCTGAGATGCTGCCCCAACTAATCGCCTCCTTATGGAGACGCACACAGCGCTTTGAGTTAATTGAGGGGGAAAAGACAGACAGTTTAGTCAGCACATTACTCTGGTGATGAACGATCCAAAATGCTTTGTTTGATCCATCTGGGTATTTTTTCAAACTTTGCTGTGGCTGAAACACAAACTCTCCTGCGTGCATGCATCAGTGGGCTGAGATATATACAGCAGTAATTTGGGGGTGTCTGTTTATTCACGCTTGATCCACCTTGTATTTAAATTTACTGCGTCTCTCCTTCTGGAAACCACGACTGGGCAGACAGACGAAACAAAAACAGTCAGGGAGGATGCTCATTTTCTGACTCCACACACTCAAGGTGACAAAAGAGTGACCCGTATGAGCGTGATAAGGAGGAAAGACCTCTACAAAAAGATGTTTGTCCAATCTTGTTGCCAACCTTTGATTTATTATTCCTAGCCCTCTGGGTTTTCTCTACTTTCAACATGTTAATTGCAACCAACTTTCAATTTCTTTATGCTTTCATTTAGTTTTTCATCCATTCATTCTCACATTATTTTGAACTTTCTTTTTCCTTGCTAACTAATTTTCCTAACTATGTGATTCGTTTGTTTTAGTAACATGATTCTTCAAGATATTACACGGGAGTGAAGGCTGCTGAAAGGTGTGTTCAGTAAAGTCAGTCTAATTTAGTAGGTAGCCTGCTGCTGACTTTTAAGGGGAGATTATACAAATCAGCAATCATTTGGATGGTTATTCCCCTCTTACATACAAACATTTGGATTTTTTTTTAAAGTTAAACTTTTGAATTTATTGGTACTATCAGGAAAATCAGTCAACTGGTAGGTTGCAGGACATAATCGCAAATCATTTCCGCCATCATTTTCGCAGCATTTCTTCTTCTGCACAAAAATTCTGTATTTTTAAGTATTCTTCATCTGTTTATGATGAGATGCGAAAAGATTATCATCATTGGTCATCATGTAGGTGACAGTGGGTGATGGAATCCACAGTGGGGAGGCTACTGAAAAGATATTTTACACCTTCTCGAAAAATTGAAACTGAAACCACTAATTTCACTCCAGGTTCACAATTGAGGCATCGAATCAGTCTTGTGCTGCTTGTGTTAGAGTTGTTATCAGATCAAAGGAATGTACTCTATTGCCTATAGGGGTCTAACTGAAACAGACCATTGACCACCTACAACATTCACCACAATGTTAAATGTTAGCAGAATTCTTCTGGAGGAAATCGATTGTGAGCACATTTGTATTTCAGTGCATGCCACATTCCTGACCATGGAGACATAGTGTGTACATGACTGCTTCATCTCATGGTGCGCTCATGTGATCCCTGATGAACTGATGATAGCAGTTACATGCTCGGCATATTTTCAAACTCAATGAAATCATCTGTTTTCTGACCCAGCAGTTACCATCTCCACCTGATGGTGAAATGCTAATGCTCATTAATTCACATACATAAGCAGCTTTCCCAAATTCATACTAACATCCATGCTAACATTCATCAACATCCAACACATGAGGTTGGTGCCTTGCTCAAGGGAACTAGGCAGTGCTTAGGAAGTGAACTGGCACCTCTCCAGTCACCAGACCAATTTCCAGACTTGGTCTGCACCGGGATTGAACCGACAACCCTCCGGTTCCCAACCAAAGTCCCTACAGACTGAGCTACTGTTGCCCCAAATTATCACGTTTTTCCAACAACTTCTGCATTAAATATTCAACTTATTCATTATGCAGTATTACAATTTAGCTTTTTCAGCAAGCAGCATTCGTTGTTCAATTTCTTCTGAAATTGCATTCTCTAGTTTCTGATGTTATGTTGATGAAAGAGTCTAAAAACTCCTTTGAACTTTCCAGAATTTGCAGCCACAGCTGTATGCCTCTGCTCCCATTTTTGTTTAGCAGCTTTTAAATTTGGACCCTTAAAGTGCATTTCATTTCACACAAATGATCCATGGTGCGAGACTCGTTTATCGCATTACTAATCAAAGAGAAGGGGCACCATTGTGTGAGACCATGAGTATTTCAACAAGTGTTGTGTAACTGTGGAGTTTGATATGTAGACCAGCTGGGCCAGCAGCTGCCACCTGGATAATCCTGCCCTGCTGTTTTCTATTTTCATGGCACAGAGGGGCATGTTGGTGTGTGTTCTCACTTTTGTTTCTGTCCATGCTCTTATTATTTAAGTGTGTATGTTGTCATACAATAATTATCTGGTTTCATATTTAATGGGCTTTGGTTTTTGTCACCGAGTTTCATTACATATGTCATACACAAGGGTTATTTTTATGACAATTACCTTCCAGTTAGGTTGGTCAATTTACTTTGGTAACCTCTGTCTGATCCATTCAGCAGTTTTCATGCATATGACTCTATTATTTCTGTATTTTATTGTTGTCTATTTTTTTTTTTTTTACCACATCTTTATTCTTGACAAGAGGTTTTGGACACAATTTGAAAAACTCAAATCTTACCAACTTTTTTTTTTGAGTGGATAGAGCTGTAAACAAACACATGTATATTCTTAAAGTTATTAAACAGAAAGTTCAAAATGTTACCAAGTTGAGTTTTTTCTGTAATCAAATGAAAGGAAACATATGAAATAGCTGTTGATATGCTTTTCCTAACGTGTGCGTTGTTTACAGTATGGAATTAAGTAAAATGTTTTTAACTGTTCATACTTTTGGGACATGCAAGCTGAATTATCTGAACTATTATTATCTATATATAGTCTATATAATTATTTATATTATTATTTGTCTGATGTTATATGGTTTCTTGAAACCTTCTCTGTAGATGACATAAACACATCCTCTTCTTAAGATGGTGTTCTGCACATGTTATCCCATTCCTTGTGTTTCTCAAGATAACTTCATAGTTGTAGAAAAGTCTTGTGTTGGTAGACTAAATTATTTGTTGAAGTTGTTCAAATGACTTGATGTTTTAAACACTTGGGGGATATACTGTATATCGATCATGTTTCTAATGACCTGGTTGCTCTGTATATGTTTCAGTTTCCTCCTGGTGTTCAGCTGTTTGGTGCTGTCCGTGTTCTCCACCATCCCCGACCACCAAAAGTTTGCGAACCAAGGCCTCTTCATCCTGGTATGATCCCTGCCCTCTCTGGCATGCTTAAACACACACACAAACACACATATAACCACTTCAGCATCCAGTTCCACTCGCTGACCTTCCGTACACAGCATCTGTGTATCCATATGTGCTTGCGTACATGTTGCTTTGTTGGCCAGTTAAAGCGCAGACAGCCATGTAAGCAGGTGGAAGGATTCAGGTGTTGTTGACAGTGCAGAAAATCACAGACATGATCCACTAATCCTAATAGCCATCATATAATCTCCCCTTCTTCCTCTGTGCTCCAGCTGCTTTAGTGAAAGGTAAAGGACACTAGCTTTCTCCTTAGCCCCCCCCCCCCTTGCTTCCCACCTTGCTCTCCCTTACGTGTTGTTTAATGGCCGCACTTTTGACTTCAACGTTCCCTCCATTCCCTCTTTGGATCAATCAGCCGCCCATTAGTGGGCAATCAGCCATTAGTGGACATTACTTACACGAGCACCTGCGCTAATGACTGATTGGCTCAGTGCACCTTAAACTGTCGTGAAAGCAAGAGATAGACAGAATAAAGACAGAGTGGCCTGTTAATAGGCTGTAATTGGTGTCATATTATTTTTTATAATTTGGGACCTTTTATTTAAGGTTTTGAACATGTAATTCACATAAAACTTTCAGCCTTTTTTTCTACCAACAAAGACGTTACAAGTATGACATGGCAGATAGTAACTTATAGAGGAAGGAACATTCAAGTCATGTAAAGAATTTGACTTATGAGTGTTTTCCATAAATTCAGATAAAAGTGTGTCTGATGTTTTCATAAAGAGAAGAAAAGATTGAAAAATCAACCTCACAACTTCTATTTCCAACACACATGACAACGTGTACATTTTCAAACCCTTTAAACTAAGGAATTCAAATGATTATCTGTATTTTGGGGCTTTTTGCCTTTATTGATATAGGACAGTGGATAGAGTAGGGAATCTGGAGAGAGTGGGGAATGAGATGCAGGAGAGGAGCCACAGGTCAGACTGAACCCAGGAGGACTTGGAGGACTTAAGCAGGCGGGACCTAACCTCTAGGTCATCTGGATCCCTTAATGTTTTTTTTTTTAACTTTGCTCTAGTTTATGTCTATGTCACACACCTTGTTGTTCAGTGTATGACTCTTATATTGCCCGTGGCTCACATGGTCTAAAAATGTGTGTATTTAACCAGATGGATGAAAGTGAAAACTACAATTTTTCATTTTCGGGGACTGTTCTTTTCAGAAATCGATTACCTATTTAAAGTTACTAATACATACAAAACTCTATGAATAAAAAATGTAAGTTTAACATTTTAAATAAAAGAAATATCCAGATGAAGGACACTCAATAATGTTGGAAAAATGTTCTGGGCTAAGTTGTAAACACATAAAGATATTTAATTGACAAAATACTAGATCAGTTGAAATAGGAATAAAAAGGTAAAAAAAAAAAAAGGTTCTTACTTATCTGGTGCATGACACTGTCCTATGTGTGTTTGTGTGTGTGTGTTTTGATTTTTAGGAGTTTGTGATGATCGTGGTGTTTGGGTTGGAGTACTTCATCAGGATCTGGGCGGCTGGCTGTTGTTGCAGATATCGGGGATGGCAGGGGCGGCTGAGATTTGCCAGGAAGCCCTTCTGTGTCATAGGTTCGTGTTGGTTTGTGTGTGTGTGTGTGTGTGTGTGTGTGGTGTGTGTGTGTTTGTGTGTACACAGCACGCAAACCCGCGTCAAAGCCCTGCACCTGTTTGAAATGGTATAACCTTGTAATGAATGTTCTTGATCTCTTCTCTTGGTGTTTTCTCTCCACAGACTTCATAGTATTTGTGGCTTCCCTGGCAGTGATAGCAGCCGGTACGCAGGGGAACATCTTTGCCACGTCAGCCCTGCGCAGCATGCGATTTCTGCAGATCTTGCGTATGGTTCGTATGGACCGACGGGGAGGCACCTGGAAACTTCTGGGCTCAGTTGTTTACGCTCACAGCAAGGTTGGGACAACACACGGCTAAAAATAGTAACTTTTACTACAAAAACAACCTTGTTTTGGTTTACATCTCAAAAACACTCACAGTCTGGTAAGTCGTGCAGATATTATATAGAATACTGCAAAAATTCATATCATACCTCATATCTAGTCGACAATATGTCTTACACTTAATATACTGTATCAAAAGCCCTATTCACCTGACACCCAGATAAACATTGTATTTTAAGATATTACAAGCAAATAAATAAGGTCTTAACTGCTTGCAATGAGTAAAAATAGCTGCCAGAAAAAAATGCACTTGTTAAGTTACTTGAAATGAGATCATTATCTTACTTTAAAAAATGTAACAAGTACATTTTGATATTGATCTCATTTCAAGATGAGGTTTAACGGTGGGGAGAGTTATTAAAATAATGGAAATAGTGGTTACTAATACCATAAATAACTTCATAACTCTATGTTTTGTGGAGTATGTGGGTAATTCTATTTGATAACCAGCTGTTACTTAATAACATTTTCTGCCCTCAAACACTGAACTCTTTTTTAGCTCCTACAATTAGTTTTTGTGCTGACCCAAACACCACACACCCGCTGGTCCACACCAGAACACAATAAGACGACATTGATGAAGATGAATTGATGTATCAGCTGTCTAAGCAGAACTGCACAGCCAAGTCAAATTTGAAGCCAAATGTGATGATGGGAAATTGAGTCAATAATGATGATAGTGATATGGTAATGACAGCAGGGACTGTGTTGTTAAAGATGCTGTTGTTACTGCTGACAGGTGTGATTGATACCTCTTCTCTGTCTCACTCTCTCACAGGAGCTGATTACAGCGTGGTACATCGGTTTCCTGGTCCTGATCTTTGCCTCCTTTCTAGTCTACCTGGCAGAGAAAGACATCAACTCAGACTTCAACACCTATGCAGACTCCCTCTGGTGGGGGACTGTGAGTACTACAGTGCATACTACACACAGCGTCTTCGTGGCTTCACAAATAATATTTGTCAAAATTGACAATTTGTTGAGATTTAAGCATTTGTGATGCCCATGCAGAGAGATGTCCTATTGGTTTTGCTTTATATGATCATAGTTGTAGAAAAACCGACTTGAATTATGAGGAGAAAGAGGAAAAGTATGATGTGCAATAAAGATCCCCAATCCAAAACACCACTGTTATGTGGCCTGCACTTTAATGATCTAACCTAATCATTGCTGACAGGGAACATCAAAGATACAACATTTAGCAGTAGGAAAGGAGCTTATTTACACAAGATCAACATATTAAGTTGCTTACATCCATTCATTTGTTTTATTCTGAAGGTGTAGGTGTAGTGTGTGCTCTCTAAAATAACCCTTGTGTTTTTTTTGGCTTTTAGATAAAGAACTGCACTTTATATTGTTTTTTCTCCCATCAAGATTACTCTAACCACTATCGGCTACGGTGATAAGACCCCTCGTACCTGGCAAGGACGGCTCCTAGCTGCCGGCTTCGCTCTGCTGGGAGTTTCCTTCTTTGCCCTGCCTGCTGTAAGTCTCCTACATGCTCACATCTTTATATTTACTCACAACCCTGTTTATGGCGCCGCTCAGCCCCAGTCATCTCTCTTTGATTTGCCCTCTGACCCTCAGGGAATTCTGGGATCAGGCTTTGCTTTGAAGGTTCAGGAGCAGCACCGACAGAAGCACTTTGAGAAGAGGAGGATGCCTGCTGCCAACCTGATACAGGTAACGAGTCATAGAGGCTCTTTTAATATGAAATAGGAACTTAAGTGGAAGGTCAGGTCAGGTCAGGGGTTAACTTTTACTTTGTGTCTTTCTTTAGGCTGCATGGCGTCTCTACTCCACAGATGCCAAACACTCCTATCTAACAGCTACATGGTACTTCTATGACAGCATGCTGCCTTCGTTCAGGTAGGATTTCCCATGAGTCCAGCACTCTGTGGATTCAACCTTAAGATTTCTGTGGTTGTCTTTGGTCCTTTGTTTAATGTGTTATGAATGCAGACAGAGATTCCAGAGGAGCACCATAAAATAGTGAACTGTTCCTGCTCATACATTGAATTTGTCAGAAAAAAACCCCACAAATTAAAAAAACAAATTGACCTTCGAGAACCATTTACACTTTAAAATAAAGAAAAGGAACAGTGTTTCCTCTCACGTTAAGACATTATTTGAAAATGCCCCTTTCAATTTATTTGCCACCACTTTTCAAATATATTTTCATTCATTTTGTTCTCACAGTGGTTTCTTATAATTTGTATTTATGTATTAATTTGACTAATTTGTATTTCGCTTGAAAGGAGGGGAACATGTGAAACACAAAAAAAGTGTAAACTTTCACATTGCATTTTTATAAATGATCACATTTTCACTCAAATATCCCTCTTCTTTGAAGTGTTTGGACCATTATTTTTGGCCTTTTTGTGAGTTTTCTCTTTTTTTTGTTCATTTGTCATGTTTTTATTTTTATTTTTGCACGTGGGGGTGTCAGAGAACTGACGCTCCTGTTCAGTCATCTCCAGCGACAACGTAACAACAAGAAGGTTCTCCACAACTCCTACCACGCGCTGCTGTCTGGGCTGCGGCCCTACAGCTCCCCCTACCTTTCGGGGGACAGGTACGCACCTCCACCTCTCTCACAGCCTCACACTACATCCAGACAGGTGGCTGAAAGTCCACCTCCCCTTACAGTCAGACACGCAAACACTATCAAAAGAGTAAATGCAGGACATAATACTTCCCTCAATCTGACAGAGCTTTCTACACGGACATGTGTGTGTGTGTGTGTGTGTGTGTGTGTGTGTGTGTGTGTGTGTGTGTGTGTGTGTGTAACAATGTGTTACTAATGCTGATCTGAGACCACTGTGTTGCAGGCCCCCCCACTGCTTCTCTGCATCTTTGTCTGCTCAGTTCATACACACGCCATCTTCACCGCCTCCCACTGTTCACTCACTGGTTGCCTCTATCTTTCTCCTTCTTTCTTTCCCTTTCTGCCCATTGTGTCTTTTCAATGCCATCCATCCTCCATCCTTCATCTGTTCTCAGGAAGGCAGAGACTCCATGCAGGTTTGTTCCTCTAGTCAAGAGCTGTGCTTGTTGATATAAAAAAGTGTAGTAGAAGTTAGAGCAGTCTTGCTGCGTTTCTTCATATGTTTCTAAGCTTGAAGCCAGGTCTACAAAGAGACTACTGGACTTTTGCATGCAGAAGATAAAAGGAGCATTGGATACAAGTTCATATGGTTGAAATGTCTTTGATTTAAGGAGCTCCTGTCACACTGTGATGTTTAATGGGCTGTTTGGATGAATATACTCAAGTTAAACCTCCACCTTTGCATGATCCTACAAACCCACCTCTTCTCACGTCTCACTGTCTCCATAATCCAAATCTGCCTCTCCAAATTCAATTGACCAGTTTTAGGTAAGAAAAGAAAATCAAAATGAGGGCTTTTTGGAGTATTGAGATGTCACACCTCGCCCTCCCCCCAAACTTTTCTTTTGGTACGTTATTCTTACGGGCTTACCATGTACCCAGGACTTCTCATCCTCCTTCCCCTCAAACCATTCTTCCACTTCCTCTCCTCCCCTCACCCTCTTTCCCTCTTCCTTGTGTGTCTCCTCAGTCAACTGCTTTCTAAAAAACGGGGTCTCTTCCGGATTCATGGTGGCCGCAAGCAGAGGTATCCACGGCAACGATCCTGTGCACGGGGCACGCTAAAAACATCATCAAAACAATAACAACACTCCTACTGGTCATTAAACCCAAACAACCTGCTCATCTTTCCTGAAACACTCAAAATTTGTGGACTGGTGCAACGGCTTGCCGACGTCTTTTTTTACGGAGGCATTAAAAAAGAATTAACCTTTCTACAAAACAAACTTTTCTGTAGTAGCAGTTCAGCCATATTCTACATTCTCTCATAAAATCATCGAGCAAGCCGTCAACTCTTCTCCACAAATCTTTTAGTGTTTCCTTTACAGTGATGACATTTTCGCCATATCATTTCTAAAATGATGGAGGATCTAGTTCTGATCTTACTTTGTCTGCTTGAACGTCATGATAAACCATAATGCAGAAAACACAAAACAAGTCAATATGGTTTATTCCTATGACTAAAGTACATTTTTCTTTGAAGCCAGTCATGAATGTTTCATCAAACTTCTTTGATGAAATGATGAAAAAAAATATCCACTCAACAACTTTCCCTCAATCGGAACAGAATAAAAAAAACACTCACATTGGCTTTATGTTTTCAATTCACTTGTTTTTCCTCATTTATAATGTCTTCTTGGAGAGAAGGTTTAAATAATTCAGCATGCTCTCCCATGTCTTAAAAGTCATATAACCTTTTTGACAAAATCAGTGTGTTTGTGCTGTTTGTTTAAAAGGTTTTTAAGTGCGAACATGTTTCAGTTGGCATGCTGTATTTTTCCAATGATTTGGACGGCTTCAGTAAGATTTATGGTCCTGAGTGCATCCAAATCGTTCACAAGAGCATGCAGAAGTCTTTCACTCCACCTTCCTCACGTTCTCCAGTCTACCTGAAGCATTTCAGCTTGCTTGTTATGAAATGCTATTTTCCACCAACCTCCCTTAACTATTTAAATTTTAATTTAAATAGCTGGCTGTAACTCACGAACAAAACAAAGAGTATATCATCGTAAAGAAATATGGGGGTGAACGACTGGCCTGGAATTGATGCGTGGTGCATGATGTTTGCATTTCCTTATGGATCCGTGACAGTGTGTAACATGTCAATGACTGCAGAGCAGGAGTGCTACCCAGAGCATGCCATAACAGAAGCGTTAGAGTGAGAATGGCCGCCAAATAGCTCTCCTCCCGTAAATAGACGACCTCACATACCAGCCTGCCTTTGGTAGTGGTGAGTGGTACGGAGCACTAAATGAGGATCCTTTTGTGCGGCTGCGCTTTGAAGCCGATATTTCGATGCTTATTTACTCTGCTGAAGGGATTAAGGAAGCGTGTCTTTTCATTCTGATGGCGGGTGGAACATTTTTTTTTTTCTGCCATCCCAGCACTGCTACAAGACTTGAATCAGGTTTCAGTCATATTTTGCTGATTCAGGTGCTACGATAGGCACATTAAAAAAGCAAATCCCCAGGGCAGAATCAGTCTTTAGAAGTATATTGAGTGTTCCTTGTGATCAAACTGCATGCATGATAAGTCAGCTAGTCTGCTTCGCTGAGCAGCAAAAGCAAGAATGTTTGTGTCTCTGTTTTGTCTGTTGGCGGTTGTTGTAAAAGTCAAAAGGCCATATTCTGTATTTTGTGTTAATTAACTAACAAACTCTTTTCTAACAAGCTCAACCTCCCCTTTGCCGCATCTCTAAACTCCCAGGATCACACAGCTTAGTTTGCCATGGAGGTCAAACGCATGGACTTTTTGATTATATTTATTTTTTTAAAA